AGCCAAAGAACTCAGCCTGGTGGGTCAGAACCCTGGTCCACTTTGTAAGCACCTGGAGGGGTTTTGAAGACCGCTGCGCTCCGGCTGCAGCCCGGGCTCGTTAAGTCGGGATCTCTGAGCGTGGGAACCGGCGTCCGTGCTTGTAAAAGCTCCCCAGGTCGTGCCAGTGCTCGGCCAGGGTTGAGAACCACGGCCCTACAGCTGGGTGGAGATAATCCCTTCTGGACCCACTCTCGGCCCCGTCCCTGGCTCGGGAGCCACCCGGGTTTCCGTGTGTGGAGACGGGAAGGAAACCAGCGTGCCCGCAGCGCAGATAAGCGTAGCCCGAGTGCCAGGGCTGCTGCCCCTCCTCTCCCCGGCTTGGAGGCTTCGAGCTGTCCAGCAAGGCCTGCCTGGAGCTCCTGCAGCCCCAAGACCAGCTCCAGGGCTCCCTCAGGCTCCCGAGCCAGGACGGGGCCGAGAGTGGGTCCAGAAGGGATTATCTCCACCCAAGCTGTAGGGCCGTGGTTCTCAACCCTGGCCGAGCACTGGCACGACCTGGGGAGCTTTGACAAGCACGGACGCCCGGTTCCCACGCTCAGAGATCCCGACTTAACGAGCCCAGGCTGCAGCCGGAGCGCAGCGGTCTTCAGAACCCCTCCAGGTGCTTCCAAAGTGGACCAGGGTTCTGACCCACCAGGGCTGAGTTCTTTGGCTGATCGACACCCCTGATCAGAATCTCTTCCCCAGACCCCGGGGGGAAATGGAGACTCTCCTGCTACACTAGGGCCCAGACCGTTCTGGAAGGGAGCCCTGGGCTGGTCTGTGCCGAAGGGAGCCCTGGGCTGGTCTGTGCCCCAGCAGGTACGAGCTGTGCTTTTTTTTTCGTCACTGTGCCCCCAAACCCGGCCCACACCTGGCGCAGACCAGGGGCCAAGTAGACACTGGAGGAACGAAATGAAATGTGGGTGAATGAATGAATGAGTGAGCGAATGAATGAATCCCACCCCTTCCCACTTCACGAGTGCCCTGGGTCTTCTAAAGTGTGGTCTGCAGACACGCAGCTTATCGAGGGCGGTTAGAAAGCAGATTCTCAGGCCCTGTTGCAGGTCCCCGGACGAGACTCTGCGCTTCCACCAGACCCCAGGTGACTCACGCGCACGTGGCTATAACGTCAGTTCTGCCACGAATCCGTGGCTCCCCGGCGTGGCTGCGCATTAGAATGACCCGCGGAAGCACGCGGCCCCCTGATGCTCCTTCCTGGGTTCCCGCTAAACGTCCCCAGGCAGTGCCACTGCACCATGGGTCTGTCTGCCACGTGGCCTCCACGTGGACCCAGGCGTGGGAGACCATCCCGTGACCATCCCGCCCCCCCGAGGATGAAAGCCAGCCCCACACCTGCACCCGGGGGCCCCCACCCAGCTCCCCATAAACCTCCGGGATGGGCTGCCCGGTGCAACTCCAACCTGTCACTTCCTGGCTGGGTGACCCTGAGCAAGTCACTCAACTCCCCCGTGCCTCAGTTTCCCCCATCTGTACGATGCATTGGGTTGCGTGAAGATGAGATGGCTTAATTTGATCTAGAACACTTAGAGCAGTGGCCCGTCCCTGAGGTTTTCCCTGGCTCCGTAACGGGCGGGCGAGCACGAACAGTGTGGGTGGGCAGGGCCCAGAGAGGACCTCGGCCCCGGAAGGTGCTTCCACTCGGGGAGCGGGCGGGAGGCAACCGGGTCGCCCTGGGGGAAACAGGGCCGATCCTGGCGGCTCAGCCCTGCCCCTACTTTCCATCACTTGTGAAGAAAAATCAGCCTGGAGGATGCCCTAGAGTCCCCGCCCGCTGGGGTGAGGCCGGAGAGGGAGGACCGAGGCCTTGGAGGCCGGTCCACGTCCGGAGGAGCTCATTCCTCCCCGGTGGGGCCTCCCAGGGCTCCCCCCAACCCGCCCGGGCGCCCCACCCCCAGCCCCTTCCCCAGCAAGCCAGACCAAGGGGTGTGTGTGTGTGCGTGTGTCCCCGTGTGTGTCCCTGTGTGTGTGTCCCTGTGTGTGTCTGTGTGTCCATATGTGTGTCTGTGTCTCCCCGTGTGTGTCTCCATGTGTGTCCCCATGTGTGTCTGTGTGTCTGTGTCCCCATGTGTGTGTCCATGTATGTCTGTGTGTGTCCGTGTGTCTGTGTGTGTCCGTGTGTGTCTGTGTGTCTGTGTCCATGTGTGTGTCTATGTGTGTGTCTGTGTGTCTGTGTGTGTATCCTCGAGTGTGTCCACGTGTGTGTCTCTGTGCGTGTCTGTGTGTGTCCGTGTGTGTTTGTGTGTGTCCCTGTGTGTATGTCTGTGTGTCCCTGTGTGTGTCCCCATGTGCGTGTATCCGTGTGTTTGTGCGCGCGTGTGTCTGCAGGTGCACGGAAAGGACTGCGGACTGCGCCCTGTCCCCACCACCCCGCCCCAGGTGCGCGGGCGCCCCTCCCACGCGAGTGCGGGGCAGACGCTGCCAGGCGGCCCGGCCGGCCTCTGCAGCAGCGTTGGCGTGAGCTCCCCGCTCCCCGCGCCCCGCGCAGCCCCGCTCCCCACGCCCCGCGCCCGCTCCCGCGCCCCGCGCAGCCCCTAGCTCTCCTCTCCCCGTGCCCCTCTCCCCGCTCCCCGCTTCCCGCGCAGTCCCCGGCTCCCAGCTCCCTGTGCCCCGCTCCCCACCCAGCCCCCAGCTCTCCGCCCCGCCGCGCAGCCCCTAGCTCTCCTCTCCCCGTGCCCCTCTCCCCGCTCCCCGCTTCCCGCGCAGTCCCCGGCTCCCAGCTCCCTGTGCCCCGCTCCCCACCCAGCCCCCAGCTCTCCGCCCCGCTCCCCGCGCCCCGCGCCCCGCTCCCCGCTCCCCCCGCAGCCCCCAGCTCGCCCGGCCCGCGCGCCTCCCGGTGCAGCGTGCGGGCGCTGTGACGTTCTCGGATAAATGCCGTGTAACTGTGTAGGCGAACGGGAGCTAAAAATAAGAGCGGAAAATCTATCATTAAGGTATCATTGCGCCAGCGCAGCTATTTGAAGGCTCCCATGGTCCCCGGCGCCCGTGTTTGAAGCCCGCCTTCAGGCTCTGGGGTATTTGCAGAAAACTCCCCGCAGCGGCTCGCCAGCCAGACCTGGGGCGCAGGGGGTGGCGCCGGTAATTATGGCAGCGCTCAAAATAAAATAAAATGAAATAAATCCAAAGCTCACCTCGCCCTCCCCACCTCACCCCCTGCGCGGTCGTTGGCCGCGGGAAGCCGCTGGAGGGGGCCGGAGGCCGAGCTGGATGTAGTCTGGCCAGTTACGCACAGACTGGGACTGGACGCTCTTTCAGACCCATCTCGCCATCCACCTTGGGTCAGAAAAACAAAGTGCCGGAGAGCTCTGGGGCAGGGAATGAGAACTGCGAGTTAACCCCAGGGCCTCCGCGCACCGCGGCGGGGAGCAAGGAATTCCGGGGATGGCGAGTCTCCCGGACTCCGTTGGGTTAAACGAAGATTGATCCGATTTGCTTTTTTAACACCCGAAGGAGGAAGGGAGGCCAGGGGAGGAGGGCAGGATTGCGTGCGCGTGTGCGTGTCTGGGAGGGAGGCGCCAAGGTGCAGCCTGCGCCTCGGCGGGCGGCGTGCGTGTCCTGCCCGCGCGGCCGGAACGGGCTCTTCGAGGGATCGCGTCACATGACTCCGCCTGCCCCTCGCAGCGCGCAGATCGCCGCTCCCCCAGTGTGCCCGGCGCCGGGGGAGGGTCGGGCGGCATCTCCCGGGCCTGGGGCTCTGCGGCGGCGGCGCGGAGAAGCGGTCCCAGCGGGTGGGGAGCGGCACATCTGGATTGGCGAAGCCGCGGCCCGGCGCCAGATCTCGGAGCGTAGCCATCTGGGGGGAGGGGACAGCGAGGGGGAGCGAGCGAGCGCCGGAGAGAGGCGGCAGCGCGGCGCGCACCGACCGGGGGCTGCGGGGTGCCGCGCGGAGAAGATGTAAGCCCTGGGGTCTCGCAGCCTCCCAGCACCATGCAGAAGGGCATCCGGCTGAACGATGGCCACGTCGCGTCCCTGGGGCTGCTGGCGCGCAAGGACGGCACGCGCAAGGGCTACCTGAGCAAGCGGAGTTCGGACAACACAAAATGGCAAACCAAGTGGTTCGCGCTGCTGCAGAACCTGCTCTTCTACTTCGAGAGCGACTCGAGCTCGCGGCCCTCGGGGCTCTACCTGCTGGAGGGCTGCGTCTGCGACCGCGCGCCCTCCCCCAAGCCGGCGCTCTCGGCCAAGGAGCCGCTGGAGAAACAGGTGAGGCGACCTGACCTCCTCGCGCCCCGTCCCGAGGGTTCGGGCCTTGGGCTGCCCGGTGGCGCCGAACTTTGGCCCCTGGAGGCTCTCGGCGCCCTGCGCAGCTGGGGGTCTGGGTCCTGGTCGGCAGCGGCAGCGCGCGACCCTGCGGGGCAGCGGGGGCAGGGACTGCGGACGGACGCGGAGCAGGTGTGGGCTGCTGCGGCTGCCCTTCGCCCACTGAGCCCCTGCGAGGCGGGGACGAAGGGGCCGAGACCCCAGACGCGGGGGGAACCGGGTACGAAGGACCGGAGACCAGACCCATGTCCAGCCAAAAATGGTGCTCCCAACCCCCACCTCCGCCCGCCAGCGCTCCCAGCCCAGATCCACTGCCCCGACCAGGAAGTCGCCGCCGTTGTCCGCGCGCCCAGGAGCAGGGAGGGCGCAGCGGAGGCGTCCCGAGCTGCTGGCCCAGGCGGCCTCCCTGCAGCGGGGGGCGAAGGGCAGCCTGCGCTAATTCCCCCGAGCTGGGGGCTGGGAGGTCACAGGGGTCGGATCGGTACCCTCGAGCGTGGTGGGCTCACGAAGAGCCCAGGGGCTCCGGGACCTCCGGGTCGCGCGCGAGGGCCAGGGCTGCTGCGGAGGCCGCGGGGGGCAAGTGGGCGCTCCGCTCCTCCCCCGCCCTGCGCCGCTGGGGCGCTGCGCTCGGCTCCCCGAGCTGCCCAACCTGCGCGGCTGCAGGGCCCGGCCTGAGTCTGCGGGGACCGCGGCGGGGGTGAGCCCTGGGCGCGGAGGGCGGGCGGGCGGGCGTCTGCGGTGGCCCGGGGAGCCCTGAGAGAGCGCGCGAGGGGCAGCCTTCCGCTTGATGCGCTTTCCGGAGGCGGCTGCGGCCCCTGCCTCGGGCAGGTTAAGCAGATGACAGTGAGTCCTAAGATGTCACCGCCGGCAGGAACCTGACATCCATCCGTGGGGCCCAGCCGGCTGGAGGCTGCTGGCAGGGGACGTTGGGGGCCGAGAGAGAGAGACGTTCACCTGTCCCACGTCATTTCTGGAATCCAGGCCCGGAGGGTGCAGACGGTGGGTGGCGGTGGAATTGGTTGAAATCAAAGCGTCTCTTGAGGTAGCCCCTAATTTTAAGGCCGGAGAGCTGAGAGGGGTGCCTGGCTCATCTTTCCTTCCTCAAGCCCAGCCATGGTTTGGGAGACGGTTTCTGGGGACCCGGAACGGTGGACAGGGACTGTCGAGGGCGGGTGTCTGGGGGTGCCCAGCCGCCTGGCAGGCAGGGCTCCCAGATGGCCCAGCTCGGGGGAGGGCCCGCATCTCCCTGAGCGTAAAGCCCCGGTGAGCCTTGAGGTCACGTTCAGAGAGCCAGATGCAGGGACTCTGCTCCCAGCCCCTCCGGCCAAAATCCACCTGCCCCTACCTGGGCTCTGCTCCGGCCCCTCCTGCCCTGAGCTCCTACAGCAGGTGCCAGAGCCGAGCTCCTGGGCAGGCGGGGAGGAGGTGTGGGCTCATACCGTCTGTTCTCAGCACCCTGACGTCAAGACACCCGGGCCTGAGCCTGAACCTCAGCTCTGTGACTTCCTGTGTGACTTCCGTTAACTCACTAAACTTCTCTGAGCCTCAGTTTTTTGAAACCTGCAAAATGCAGACAATAACAACACTGACCTTCCCGGGGTTTTGAGAGCCCCGAATTCGATAGCGTTCATCATACTTGCAGTGCACTGCAGCTGGATCTAGATAAATCTTAGTTGCATCTGAATTATTCCCACCAGGACAGGGTGGTTCCGGTCACTGGATGTCAAAGCAGAACGTTCCGGAACCTCAGCTTTAGGTTGCGCGGCCCTGCCTACCGTTTTACAGACTGAGAAACTGAGGCCCGGAGGAGGGAAGGGAGCACCAGCAGCACAGAGAGAGTCAGGCCTAGAATTCGCCCCGAGTGTAAGAAGCCCCGAGTTGGCTCCGGGGCGCCCAGCCCCCGGCTCAGGCGTGGAATCCCACCGGCCACGGATCTCGGGAGGGACTTGGGGGCACGCTCACCCACGCTCGGAGCCGTTCCCCAGAACACGGCCAGCCGGGGTCCCCGGGTGTGTGCACTGAGGCCAGACAGCGTGGGGGACAGCAGGCGGCGCTCTGTCGTTGCCCGGCCGGGCGCGGGTTCTCATTCAAGGCGCCGTCTCCTCCTCCCGCCTCACTCCCACGTGTCCCGTCTGACCACGGAGCGGGTTCGGCTCCTGTAGGAACACAGACCCGCTCTCTTAGCGTGTGCATGTGTGTGCGGAATCCACAGCTGTGTCTTCTCTAAGTCTCTGAGCAAGACGGGCGGCCCCAACAGCCCTTGCTCCGAGTCTCCCCAGACACAAGTGGGTGCCCCGTGGCGCAAACCGCGGAACATGGCTTGGGGGGAGTGACATCTCCTGGCCATGCCGTGACCAGGTTTGGGGCCCTCGGAAGCCGGACCCGAAACCTGCCCGCACGTGACAGGCTGCGGGGTTGAAGCCCCCGGCTTGACTGGACTAGCCGGCGTCTGGTGGGGGCGTGGTTTTAGCGGGACGTGGTTTCCTCGAGGGTCCGAGCGTACGGCGTCCTACCCAGACAGTTTCCAAAGGGATGGAAGCCACGTCTTGGCTGGGAACCGCCCGCCCCGTCCCCCCACCGTGGCTGGACGGGCTCAGGGACCAGCACACGGCGGACACTCAGGAAACGCTTACTGAGCGGGACTCGTTCTCGCTCGGCTAACAAGCATGTTCATCGCATGTTTTATGTCCTGAGGGTGACCGGGTGCTGGGCCTTGTGCTGCGTCCTCGGCCTGAGAGGCTGACTGTCACAGACCCGGAGCCCCCCAGGAAGACACCGTGCACCGTGTCGAGACCTCGGGGAGCCCCAGCCCCAGCCCGGCGTGGGGCGGTCTCATCTAGCTGCGTCTGCCCTCGTCCAGTGCGGCCCTCGTGGCCAGGGGCCCCGGCCTGAGACCCCAAGGCCCCCTGAGGTCAGCCTGGCGCAGCCATGCCCCCAGGCCCCTGGCAGCAGCAGCCGGGCACTCCCTGGCCTGGACCCTGCTTGCCCGGCCCCGGCCTCCCCTCCTCCCAGCCCTGCAGCCGCACACCAGAGGCCGGGGGCGTGGGGGAGGGCGTCCACTTAGACCTTGGGTTCGGCTGCCCCTGGCGCTCCGTGCCCTGGTTTGGCAGGGAGCCGTCCACACTGGCCCTTCCCTCCCTCCTTCCGGGCTCCCCGAAACCCGGCTTCCACCCCCAGCTTCTCCACCGGGAGCCCGGCCAAGCCACCCCCAGCTCCTTCAACCCCCACCCCACCCCACCAGGAGGGCTCCTCCTGGCGCACTCGAGACAGACAGAGGCAGGCAGATCGCTGCAGCCGGACCGATGTGGACAGAGGCTCCAGAGCCCGGCGAGGGGACGGGGGTCACTTTAGCGCCTGTGTCCACCCGGCTGGTGCCCTTCCCTGGAGACAAGAGGAAGCCTCGGCCCTGGTCGTTTACGGGCACAGTGCTGTGCCGGATGGCCTGGCGGATTCCTGTCCACACCAGCCCTGAGGCCGCAAGTGCACCCATTTTACAGATGCAGAAACAGTCTCCTCCTTGGCCGCCCAGCAGGGCGGTGGCAGGAATGAGGTCCGTCCTCCGCTGCCTCCCTGCTGCCGCCACCACTCAGCACGCCCTCCTGGGGGTGGCCCGTCCTGCCTCTCAGCCAATTGTTACTTGGTGTTGTATATGTTGGTTGGTCTCTTGTCTGTTTATTGACTTTCTCCGTGATGGGTCATCATAGGGCATTTGGCTCCTGCTTTTTTGTTGCGGGCTAGGCGGGGGGGACAGACTGGAGACAGACTGTGCATCGCGGAGCTCAACGAAACCTCCACTGGCATCATACCAGCAACATCCCGGCTCCGGGGCAGGGCTGGTGCTCGCGGCTCCACAGGCTGCAGGGGAGGAGATGAAGCTCAATCCGCGTTGTCCGCTCCACACCACTGGCGGTCCCCACGCCTGGGCGTCCTCCCTCCCCCCTTTCTGAGGAACCTGGCACCCTCCACCATCCCCACCCACGCCACTCCACCTGCGGCAGGTAGCCAGAGCCATCCCTGGAGACCCACCTCAGACCGTGGGACGGAGGAAGCCTCTGGAAGCCCAGTGGCCCCTGCCGGCCTTCTGGGGAGAAACTGCACACTCGCCCGACGGGACCTGGAGGCCCGGCAGAGTCCAGGCGCAGCGGCCTCCTTGCCCAGACCCCCCGTGCCCGAATCTCCTCCCGCCTCTGCCCTGGCGCTCATGCCCACGAGAACGGCCTCCTCTCCTCGTCCGGACGCCCGTGGCTTCCCTCTGCCTCGATGGTCTCCCCTCCCCGCACCCTCCAGGGTCACTAGCGCCCGCAGGGCCTGCAGGGCTCAGCCTGGGAAGGCGCTCCTCCCCTCGCCCCCCGTGAGCGTCGGCCCTGGCCACCTCCCCTGCCCACCCATGTCTCGGGTCTGGGTGATTGTTCCTGCCGCGGGGGTGCGTGCGTCCCCACATGGCCTGCCGCTAGCGAGCACCAGGGGCGGGAGGCCGGCAAGGGCGGGACACCCATCGAGGCGGGCCATGGGGACCAGGCGTCCGGGTGTGGAGGGGGCGGGAGCCCTGGAAGGAGAAGGAATCGGCCTCTGTGATAAAAAAAAAAAAAAAAAAAAAAGTCACGAAGAGTGACAGACGGAGAACCAGCGGGACCTGGTGTCCCACCAGGTGTCACGGAGGACCGGACAGAGCCTGTGCCCGTCCACGC